TACCGAGGGCCATGGGCATATAGGTAAGTGGCCATATCCTGAGGACGTCCCTGGGATGTACCTACGTCAAACCAACTTGTTACCGTTATCTACGTGCTGAAGATCGTCTCAGAACATCACATTCAAGATTTATTCCGAGACATTATTTGAAGAAAACTTGTGGCTGTATTTGAAAATGTCTTGTGATGATTTCAAGAAAAAATATATTATAATTATAATTACATTGTCATATATATACCTGATGTGTATGCAACCACCATATTGCATACATATACTCAGATAGCACACAATCGCCTATGTTCGTTCTCAATTTGTCGCCAAACTTGAAAGGGCGTTCTATTTCCTCCAACCTACGAACATTTTCAGGCGTAGATTTGGCGCCGTAATTTTCCTAGATGAGTTCTTTCAGTGAGAGCCTCTGAGGATGTAGAGGATTTCGTGCCTATGGATGTCTTCAGATGACATTTCATGAAATAACGTGAGCCCCCGAGCTACAAATCGCATCTTGGAAAAAATTTACAACATCAGTCGTCTGATTCCGCCTTCTGATTTATGATTTATGATAATATAACGGTCCTTATTCTGTGGCCCTTACTTTCACGCTCTGTTCAGGGCGGAGACTACTCTGGTACTGGAGGGGGGGAAGGGTTCTCGAGCGCCAGATTGTTTTTGAGGTAGTTTACTCTACCTGCTCTGCACAAAATGTTTTTGTACAGAGGCCCAAAGTAGCAGTGGAGATAGGTACAGGAGGTATACCTCGGTACCTACAGTATAAACCAGGGGTCAATGTTATTGAATCGACCTGGAATCAATAAGGAGCCAAGGGGATGTAGGCTTTAATTACAAACCCTGGGTTCAGCCTGGAATACTGGTTGCAATTTTTAGTCTGGATAATTACAGGAATCAAAACAAAATATCTTTCGGGACTCTGGTATTTTTAGGTTAGGCCTGGAAAATTATTTACTCAAACTATTTCATAAAGTCTACCTGGACAAACGGAAACACAGTTCCAAACGAATTAAACAGATTCGATTCTTATTTATCCTTCCTTTTCCTTCGATTTTCTAATTTTCTATCTCAGGATTTTAGTGAGGTTAATTATATTTTTCTATTCATGTCAACATTTCATTAACCACCGGCCACCGCCTGACAGGATAATAAGCACAGGGACACGGATGCACAGGACATGATTTCTCGAGGAAAAGAAGAAGCAGAAGAAGAACAGGCTTGTAATCTACTATTCTTTGATAATAATCTGCAATTTTGACAAAAGAAAATATTGAAAATCATTAAATAAATTATTGGAACTATTCAGAACTGAAAACAATGACAACAGAGAAAGAAATATGAAATATGCAAACACAAAAAACCGTTTATTCGCAAATACCAAGTTCTGGATTCTTTACACAGGTCGGGTGAGTATCGGTATGAAATGCAACAGGAATGAAATGAATCAATAAACAGGATGAATAATAATGGTGAAAAATATGGAAATTAAAGTTTCGAAAGAAATGTGTAAAATCATTAGTTTCGACTCAAGTATTTTGAATTGTGGCCCATATTCAGGCAACGACCATACCACGTTGATTCAAGTACCCAGCTCCGTCCGGTCCAGCTGTCCGAGCCTAACTAGAAGGAGGTTTTTTGTTTTTTCATTTTATTTTTCCTCCAAAAACCGGAAACACTCCCTGCACTGATCACGGATGAGCAACTCCCCCGCCCCACTGGGTACCCACAGTGAGATGACCTTTATAAAGGGCCTAGCCCTAGGAGATCGGTCTCTGCGACGAACACTTCACAAATCCTCTCACATCCCTTGGCCAACACCAGCCACCTCTGCGTCACGCGGAGGAACATCCAGGGGCACTATATGATGCTCCAGAACAAAAATATGAAATGTGATAGAAAATTTGTGATGTAATAGATTAGGATAATGGAAATAAACGACTTTAATACAGCTCCGTCTGATCCTGGAAGTCAAGCAACGTCGGGCGCGGTCAGTACTTGGATGGGTGACCGCTTGGGAACACCGCGTGTCGTTGTCTTTTTGTTTTTATTGTATTGTATTGTATGTACTTAGTACTTATTGAATTCTAACAGTCAGTACTGTCAGTAAATCCAATGACTCTTAAAAAGGCGTTGAACGGACATAGTATGAAATAGTTATTATTTTACATGGGAAAGAAGTAATATCTGTCAGTCTAAATCTGATTGATCTGATTTGATTTCAAACATTGCGAATTTAGTTGTTGTTTGCAGTTCTTTCTCGGAGACGGTGTCGTTATTGGCTTTTTTTCGGAACTATAGCAGAACAAAAGCAATCAACAGTGTACATATTACATGGTCCTGCATCTCACCTCCCGTCTTCTATAGCTCAGTTATCAGTTGAGTCAGGATTTTGATATTTTGCAGACTCCAATTGTCTCATATAGGCCGCATACCAGGCAAATAATTTCGATTATACAGGGTGTCCCAAAAAGTGTGACGTCAAATATTTATCATAAATCTAAAGGCGGAATCAGACGACTGATGTTATAGATTTTTCCCAAGGTGCGATTTGTAGCTCAACGGCAGAGCCCGAGAGATAGAAAGCACCGAGGGAAATATAGCATTCTATCCTGAGGTGTATATACCTACTATTTTTTACGCTGGCGAGAACACAAAAAAAAGCCACTCAAATTGATTTGGTATGAGTCCTAATACTTCGTTACGTACCATTTCTACTGCAACTGGAGTTTCCTTAGGCTCTGTCCACAAAATTACAAAAATTAATAAATTCCATCCATATATAATGAAAATCTGCCAAGAGATGAGTGAAGACGACTTTGACAGACGAATTGAGTTTCGTGAGCAGATGACAACAATTATTAATAACAATATCGCATTTTTTAAAAATATCTGCTTCTCTGCGATGAGTGTTCTTTTCATTTGAATGGATTTGTCAATAAACATAATTGCAGATATTGGAATACCCAATATCCCCAAAAACTGAATGTTTGGGCTGGTATACTAGGAAACCAAGTAATTGGTCCTTTGTTCATCAATGGAAATCTAAATGGTGAGGTGTACTTGGATATGCTAGAAAATACAATCAATCCACTAATTACTGAAGCACTTGAAAATCAACTAGATAGAGATGGAAACACCTTTCTTGATAAAAACCAGTAACATTTTCAACAAGATGGACCTCCCCCCATTATGTGCTTTCGGTCCGTCAATGGTTACATAATATATTTCCCGGTAGATGGATAGGGCGAAGAGGACCTATAGAGTGGCCAGCCAGGTCCCCGGATTTAGCACCATGTGATTTATTTTCATGGGGACATTTGAAATCAGTTGTTTACACACGCCCGCTGCAAAATTTACAAGAGCTTCGACAAAGGATCACTGCAGAATGTCAAGCACTTTGACCAGAAATGTTTGAAAATGTGCGCCACGCATTTGAACAGAGGTTATACCATTGCTTGGGCAATAATGGACAACATTTTGAGCAATTACTGAAGTGACGGTAGTGTAAAATATCGATATTTAGGTTTGAAGTGAAAGGAATGAGAATAAACAGTTACAGTTTGTATTTCAATGGTATACGCATCAGAAAACTGATTTTCCTAAATAGCTCGACAACGGATCGATCAATTTTGAAAAACAAAATACTGACGTGTAGATATTACAAAGACCTTCAAAATGAGGCATGACTTGATACCCCTTCGCATTTGAGATTTTGCAGTTGGTAGCTCCCCCATGCAGGGAATGAGAGGGGGCGCGTTCATTTCATGATGAAAACTTGTCCCCTTTGATACATTTGTTGACGTGTCTCGGAATTTTTTGAGAACATACACACATTTCAAGAAAATTAGGGTGGGAAGTCCTGAAATGAACACCCTGTATATCAAGGTATCCATTTCCTCCCGCGTGTGAAGTTTGATGCCTGACGCGTAGCGGAGGAAATGAACGTTTGCTCCCAAGATATATATATATATATATATATATATGATTTTATTTACGAACACATGAAATATATTTGAGAGCGTCGTTCTTAAATTTGTGCTTCAAGCGGTCTATCTCTGATGGAGACTCGATCCAAATCAATATGTTATATGATCTAAGATTTTACATGATCTAAGGTTACAGACCGAAAATCAATTTGACATTGACACTTCTGTCTGTGCTTCTGTCACATTGAGTCAGTTTATTGTGATGTAATTATTGCATTTTATTTAAAGTTTCGATTGAGTGTTATATGAGGAAGTGTATGAGAGCATTGGAAAATGAAAGTGTTATTTGTTTTATAGTAGTGATGGACACACTGATGGGGTACTTTTTTTTTTTTTTTTTTTATCGATTGGAGCGCACAAAAGGGAATCCCTAAAATGTTCAAAGAACATCTTGCGTTCCTAGGCAGGATAGGGACAGGAGGTAGGTATTGGAATTTTTTTTGAATTTTTGGAGATTATATGTTGTTGGGAATACTTGGGTAGCACAAATCTTATGTGTATATCTCTACCAAGGAAGCATGCTGACGCCAATTTATTTTACCTCCCACGGGAGGTAATATTATTTTTCCTTCCGTGGAAGCAAATTGACAGGTTTGTGTCCTCAAATGAGGGAGCAAACGCTAACTTTCTATGTAGTGAGTAGATGAACAAATTGAATATTTCATTCGGCTCACAAATGCTTTATGCAACCGGTCGTTAGATATTGATTTGGATGATTGGAAACTATAAAAGTGAATTGTTTAAAAAAATGTTTAGACCTACAAAACAATGTTCCTAGAATTTCTGTGTGGAGTTGATGTAGCAGTATTTTTTGTGCAGTATTTCTGAGAGTGACAACAACGAACAACGAAATTATGTTTCTTCAGAGTCAAACAAAGAGATTTCGACCATCACCAAACTTGCTAGGGGACTATAAATACCAATTACTTCTACGACTTTTAATGTATCTGTTGAACCCATACCTACGTTGACAGTCAAACTATTGTAGCTAAGACAAACACTCACACTAACATCACCGACATTTTCCCCACTGGAACCAGAGCTGAAGCCTAGTCTCAATGCTATCTTGTACATGATTTTAATGAATGTAAATTACATAATAATTTATTGGTTTTTATTATAAATGCTTGATGTTTATTTACGCCAGACATTTCCTGCGTATATAGAAGGTATGAGGAGAACAGATATTCAAACAGTTATTGCCAATGCTTTTGTGGGGCATTTTGCTTAAGGTCCTGAAGAAGCGATCCAGTTACACTCTGGTAACACAACTCCTCATATATTTTCATCTAATACTCTTTTCTGGATCGCCATTGAGACGAATGAAGTTCTAAATATTATATCAAGTCTCAAAAATACAATTTCTCAAGGTATTGATTGTTTACCTACTCAAATTATCAAAACCATTGCAACTTCCATTGCAGAACCGCTATCTGTGATGATAAATTTGTCAGTACAACTGGGTGATTTCCAAGATAATCTAAAAGTTGGAGTTGATATGAATAATTACAGGCCAATTACTGTGTTTGGTGATTATAGCAAGATAATTGAGAGGGCTGGATATAATAAAATGTTGGATTTTTTTACAAACTATTGAATGATATCCCGTTATCAGAATGGATTTTGCTAGAAAATAGAAAGTATGTAGGTGTACTTTTTATCGATCTTCCTAGAGCGTTCGATTTGGTTGGATTTTCTTTATCGGAAAGTAAAAAATATACATCCTGGGTTTCCGAGGACTTTTTCTTTCATGGATTGTGTCATTCTTGGAAAACCGGAGAATTCTTGTCAAAATTGATAATAGTTATTCTCATTCACATGACATAGATTTAGGAGTTCCTCAAGGATCTAATTTAGGGCCACTAATCATTCTGCTATTCATTAACGACTAACCATATCACTTTGATTCTGATTGTCATACTGTATGCTGATGATACTACTATTAATTGCAGTCAGCACTGATACTCCTGAAGGATTCCAAAGTAAACTCAACATAATCCCAAGAAATTTTACTAACTGGATCTCAAAAACTCGTCTTATTGTGAATGCGAATAAGACTGTTTTCATGCAGTTTTCCTCAAAACAAACTGAATTATCCATTCAGAGTAATGGTAAATAATACTCCTATCGAACTATCGAAATCCACAAAATTTTTAGGACTCTGATATGAGTTGGACAACACATATAGATCATATGAGCAAAAGGATCAATAGTGGGTATCATGCTCTGCTTCAAATGAAATATGTTTTCACCATGTATCAGTTGCTAAAAAATATACTATGGAATGAGCATATGAGCAATAATGTATTATTATGGGGTAATGCAACTAAGTCTGTTAGAATTCTGATTTCTCAAAAAAGAATTATAAGATTAGTCTTCGATCTTGATTACAGGGAAAGCTGTCGAACTATATTTCGAAAACATAATTTGCTCACATTTTACTCCATCTATATTCATTACTGTGTAATGTATACGAAAGAAAACCTCACAAGTTTAATAATAATAATGATCATTTTATGAATGAAAATCTCAACAACAACGCGCTTGCCTTGCTCGCACGTTAAAATATCTCGATCAATAGCCCTCATTAATACACGAGTTGGTTAAATAACTATTACATCATTCAAAATAACTGCTGAATAACCACTAAGTGTGCAATTTCAAAATGAAATCACAGAATTAGATCGACAGATATTTGATTACTTCAGAGGATTCCTTAGGAACGTATGATAGATATAACCCGAGTTGCTTCTGACATCGCCGAAAGCAAACGCTTGGGTTCGTCTATCGACAGATCGTTGATTTACAAGTTTTTCAGGCAAACTTCAAAGTTCAATATCGTCCGAAATAATTATTGTGTTTTGACAAAGTTATATCCCAGCAGACATTAAGGCCTAATTGTCGCTATAAGTACAACAGCCTACCAGTTTAAAACGGGAAAAATGTAATTTTTTCCAAAGTTTTATTTCACCAAAGTTCTATGTGACTTTGTTCTCGATTTGTTCCAGAGTATTATAAGAATGAGATACACCACTTTATGATTATTTATTACCTTTTATATAGGTATTTGATATCGATATAGTGTCAAAACTCATTTTTTGAATCAAACCCAATTTATTCTAAAACGACACATCTCACAATAGTAGGAGTATCAGGCTTGCAATTTTGCACATTATAATAGCTACTACAAGGTAAAAACTATATCACAAAGCAAAACTATTGCATTTCTGTTTTCCATGAGTGTATGATAGAATATTTGATATAATGCAAAACTCAAAATGATCGACAGGTTTGAAGCGGAGGTGCGATATCTTGGGTCAATAATCCGGTTGAAAGGACCAAATGTAAGGGCTGCATATGATTGAATTATCCAATATTTTCCTTTGTCAATCTATTTTATTTCAATTTCAATTTTGTTGACAAACATGAGCCAACTGAAAAACCTACTGGATATACTTCCGTCTTGACCCATACATACCTCCTTGATTGCGACGGGTTGTATTTTTCACAGTATCCGTTGAATGAATATTCATTTCAATCTATAAATAGGCAATTTATAAACTTTTTATTTTAGTAAGTTAACTGTTCGAATAATGAGACGTTATAATTATGTAGATATACCTCAATAGCACTATATTTCTTATTATCAATTATTCACTATCCGTGATGAACTTGAATTTTTTTAATCGTTGTTTGCAGGGTCGGTTCCTTCACTCAGCAGTGGCGGCACTTTAGAGAAGGCATCGGAGACTGACTGTCCTCAAGAATTTCCATTCATCGGATAGTTCGATGAACTCTTATTCACAATATACACTGAAATAGTCGTTTTTCCACCACTTGCTATGAAACCTACCATTATCTACTCCTTTTTGAGGCGTAAAGTGTGCTACCAAGGTAGTTTTCGTCTTTTTATAAACCACTATAGTCAATAGAGACATAGGCACCTCTGTTATAATTAACCCAAATTCATTGTTCTGATGCGAGATTAGCATTATAGGCACTTGAATCTAGTAGCTGTAAAGCAATAACGACTTGAAATATATGCTGTCATGACTACTAGATTTTTATTAGAATTGAACATGTCATGTGTTTGAGAATTTTGTGGAAATATTATCGTTATCGTTAAGTATTCACATAATTTCATTCTTATTCTTATGAATACTATCACTAGGTTTTGTTCTTATTCTCTACTGGAAATTATAAATGTTATTTGGTGTTTTTCTAATAACCTCTCACTCGGCTAGAACTATAACTGTTGAATCCCATCGAGGGCGTCACAGCAACAATAAGGACTATAATATGGCGGTCGCGTCGGGCGACGTGAAAGATGCTCTCATAGTAACTGAAGAAACTTTCAAAGATAAATCTTTTAAATGTTGTCAAACTAAAACTAATAAGACCCTAACCTGTGTAGTATGTGGAAATAGTTACCATCTATCATGTGCTGCAAAAAATAAGCTAAAATGCATAAAAATATGTGACAGCAGAATAAACTGTTGTGATTCGAAGCAAGGTGCTCTCAACAGTGCCAGTGAAGTAGAAAAACTAAGGATGGAAAACAATATGCTGAAACAAATCCTGAAAGAAAAGGAAGATAAGTACAATTTACTACTTGATAATACCAAACTATTGCAAATAAACAGCAACTTATTACAAGATAAAATCAGTTCATTACAATTGGAACTCAACAAAAAACCCATTGCGAATAAAAAAACCCAATATGCTGATAAGGTGAAAGCACAAACGCATATGAACTCGAACAAGAAAGAAGAAAACAACTTTTTGCAAGGGGATTCCAGTGCGATGATGAATATAAACAACCCATTGACATTGGATATCCCAAAAGAAAATAAATCAACAGGAAAAACTCTGAAAACTATTGAGGACCTTCAAATGAACAAAATGAAAGAGGTGATACACTTAGAAAACGACATTGAAAATGAAAATGAAGAGAATGGCATGAAATATGTAACTAACCAGAGAAGAGATAAAAAAAGGAACAATAATAGGAGGCCAGCTAATAATTTTGGAGAAAACGACTGTGACAGTGATTTCGGGGTAGAAAGGAAGATTTGGTTGTATCTGTATAGAATTAAAAGGAGTGTAACCTCTGAAAAAATAAGAGAATATATAGAAAAATTAGATAGCTTCAAAGAAGCAGAAATAGTAGTAAAAGAATTGCCGACTAATGAGAATCAGAATAAATGCTTTATGTTTGGTATAAACGAACGATTCAAAGAAGATATTTATAAGCAATCAACCTGGCCCAGGAGCATGGCATTCAAGCGATTCGACTTTTATAAATACAACCAGTACCAGAGAAGTCAGGATTTTTAACTTCACAAAAATCGAAGGGATCAAAAAATATCAGTTTAATACACCAAAACATCCAATCAATAGGAAATAGCGTAGATGGACTGAATATGTTACTAGATGAACACTGTGACTGTCACATTCTAGCAGTGACAGAACATTGGAAATCTGAATGGCAATTGAAACTATATGGGATAAGAAATTTCGCGCTGGCTTCTTACTACTGTCGTAGTGAAAACGAACACGGAGGGGCAGCTATCTATGTGAAAAACGGAATAAACTACAAAGTACTGAAGAACATAAATAGTTTGTCTAAGCAAGACGTATTTGAGTGTGCTGCAATTGAATGTTCAATAGAAAGTGATAAATATATAATTGTGAGCATTTATAGAACGCCCAAGAATGAAAATTTGGATGAGTTTTACAATAAACTAGAAGAACTTCTTGAAAAAGTATCACTGGACAATATTCCAGCCTTTATAGCAGGTGACTTTAATATAGAATTGAAGGATACTGAACACAATATCACAAGAATGAATTTTCTACTAAATTCCTACTCTTTTTGTTTCACGATTCATGAATACACTAGAATAACCTCAAAATCAAAAAAATGTATAGATAATATCTTGACAAATTTTGACGGGGACTATAGCACGAAGATTATAAACTCTACCATTTCTGATCATACTGCACAAAAAATCAGTTTTATAACAAACGAAACAACTTTACCATCCCAAAAATATGTAAGAATCTTTTCGAATGACAATAAGGACAGATTCATTGAAAAATTAAAAGATCAAGATTGGGAGATTGTACATAGTTTTAGCGAGAATGATGTAAATAAACAATGGAATGCTTTCATTGACACATATTTGAAAATATTTT